CTGTGATACTTTTAACAGTAGTATCAGTTAATCTCTTTTTAAAGTCAGTTATTCTGAGATATTTTTTTATCTTAAAGATTCACACTTTCATCTTCTTTTACAGATAAGTAAGAGAGATCTTCTCAGTCTTAATAGAATCTATTAATACTTAAAGCTCTGAGACTCTTACTCTGTACTACTTAAGTATCTAGACTTCTTATCAGAGCTGATACAATATCTTTCTATAAGATAATACTTACAGAGAGATAGAAGTCATTGTTACAGATATAATAAAAATAACAGAAGTAAGAGAAAAGATAGATATATAAAATTCTCTTCTTCTTCAACTTCTTGATACAGTATAGATAAGTAGTAGTATTGATTAAAGACTGCACTGAAGCCTTCTCACAGAGAGAAGATAAAGAAACTACAGAACTCTGCAGATTTAACTCAGCAGTATCTCAAGCAGAGCTCAGATATGCTGTAAGAGAGAAACTATAGATTAAGCTTCTCAGAGTCACTGTCTCTGAAATCAAGCTCTTTCTGAGTTCCTCTCTGAATGATCACATGAGATCATATATCACTGTATTAACTGAGAAGAGAGGCAATGTTGCAACAGCGGTGAGAGAGGCAGGAAACAGACTGAACACAGATGCACTGACTGATAGAAGAGATAACACCTCACTGCACAGTACAGCTACTACTGTCACAGCTGCAAGAGATGCAGGAGAAGAAGAAGATGTGATAATGAAAGTAGTACTCTCACAGCTCATTGACACTGCTGTCTCTGCCTTCAACCTGGCTTTCTTGATGATCACAGAGACTGCAGCTGCATCACAAAGACATTTATTACTCACTAGAAAATATCAGAATAAGTCTCTTATTATCTCTCAAGAATGATGCTTTCATGCACTCACTATTACAGATAAGAGAGAGAGGAGAAAAATGTGTCATAGAGAAAAAGAATCTTTTCAAGAAAATCCTATTACTACTGTTAGCTTTGTCTCTAAAATACATCACTTTTATGTGATTCAAAGATTGCTTAAGCCAGTGTAAGATTACAGGTGTACACCAGCTTCTTATATATTGAATCTCATACACTAAATTAATTAGTGGCTGCTATGACCTCTCTTTACATTTGTATACTAGTAGTTTGGAAGTGGCTGTGTTATTATCTGACAGTTGTACATTCTTCTGAATCACATCCTCTCTCACCAGATTCAGTCACACTCATGTAATCATGTCATACACTCTAGCTTCATGCAGATTAGCTCACCACTAGTGTTTTATAATTATGTGATCTATCTCTGATTCAGCTAGCATTCTGTGTACACTCTTATAAAGAAACTTTCACTATATTACATTACTCATTCACTAACTTTTCTCATTCTTCAATCATCTTCTTCATTTCATCATCATTGAACATTACTATCATTCAAGATTTCTATCTCTTCTTCTATTCAACTCTTTCTATCTGTTCATTTATTATATTATATGCATTTCTGATAATGATCTTCTGTTTCTATAACAAGTATTATCATAGTGCTTATATCAGGCAGTTTATTAGCAGTAAGTGTAATACATTGTGAAATGTGATCAGAACTTGTTATCTTCTAATGATTATCAGAACATACTATTATAAATAACATATCTTCTTCATCTTCTTATACACTCTCAACTGTTTCTCTTCTCAGCAGATTTCTGATCATGTTTTCTGACATAATTTTGCATGAACACAGATGCTAATATATTGTTTTTATTCACATAGAATTTTCACACATTGACAGATTCATGTCTGCTGATGATAGTGAACTCAATATTAAATCATTGATTGAGAACTTGAAGAACATGATAATGAAGAAATTACTTATATTATGTATAACTAAGTCTTCTATATCTCTCTCTGCTTTCTCTGTTTCTTTCTCTGCTGCTTTCTCTTAATCTTCTATATCTGTCTCTGTGTCTGATTCTCCTGCTTCTGCTACCCCTGTTTCTGTGACCTCTACTCTCACTACTTCTGATTTTACTGTCTCTGTCTTCATTACTAGCTCTCCTCATTTCAAGAAGATATTGCATAGACTCAGTGAATTACATTTCTTAGTATATACACTTCTGCTCTTCTTACTGACTTTCAGAATAATTTATTATATAAAGACTGTGTATAACACAACTATCTGAAGCTTAGTTACAGACATCAATTATTACATTTATTTTAAATATTCATAGTGAGACAATTATTCATTTATATCAGAGAATCACTTCTTCTCTCAACAATATCTAGATTGTAAGTCTTTTCATTTTTCATCTTTTTCTTTCTGATACTGATTTTCCTATTCTTAGAGGAAATTGTTATGAGTTTTATTGTGTATGAAGTTATGATATTCACAGATATCAAGAAACTTTTCATAACTGTTAAATTCAATATTGTAGATACATCTGCTCTGATGAATATCTTCAGCATAATTAACTCATATCAGCCTATTCTCTGATGTTTATCATTCAACTTTGTAATGCAGGTGATGAATATTCATATTTTCAGAAACAGAAACATGAATATTGTTCTCTTTTACACTCACAGGTGTGAGACTTGTACACCTTGTCTGAGATGTTATTATGAAAATAAGCTGTTCACATACTGTGTTCTGCTTCCTGCATTCTCCTGTGTCTCTCTCTCTCTTTCTGAGAAGCCTCATGCATGTTGTAATTGCATGTACAACTCTAAGGCCAGCAGGTGTTTATTCAGTAATTGTTATCTCTGTTTTTACAGTTTTATACACTAATAATAGTTCTTAGTTGCTCTGGTGCCAGAGGTCATTTTAATCAAAGATGATAACACTGCTGAGACTACCTTCTTCTACTCTTAAGCTTCTCTCATCACTTTCTCTTCCTCTTCTGTGAGGAAGGTTGTGCACATATCAGATTATAAGTATTCAGCTCTGAATAGCTTCTGCTGTCATTCATTCAGTTCTATGCCTTCTTCTTTCATTTCTTCTATTTTTATTCTCTCTGCTCTGACTTCTGATTCTGTGAGTTCTGTACTCTTCTTCAATTTTTCTACACATACACATACACATTTCTATATTAGCATTCCAGTCAATCTTGTAATAAATGACATTAATGTCATTAGACTGACTGTGTGACTGTGTCTGAGATCAGGACTAGATTTTTTGATAGTTTCATTGCCAATTTGACTGATCTCATTACATGGTTTTGACATTAGATAGTAGTCTCATACTGTTTCAGTGGAACTTACTGTCTACTCTTATCACATTTTTCAAATGAGATCATGATTTCCACTTCTCAATTTAAATTATTTTTATTGCTTTAAATGACTTTAAATCTCATTTGAGCATTATCAAAAAGCATTACTTTTTAAAAAATTAAAAATAGTCTAAAAAAAACCTTAAAATGTCTAAAAATAGTAACTTTATGCCAAGAATGGGACTAAATGGAACCAAATGAGACCACTTTCTTATTTTTTTCAAGTCATGGTTCCATTTTAAGATCTGATATATAGTCACTTTACATGTTTTTTTGATAGCCAGTCCCAGCGGGATTCACGCCAAGAAATGTGTGAGACCAGATCAAATGAGATCAAATGTGAAATTCATGATCCCAGCGGCCAGTCTAAATATTATACACAGAGCAGTAGAGAAATCAGAGACATGTGCAGCATTGTTGTGAGAGCAGCTTGCAGCTCTTGAATCTCTTGCAGATCTCAAGTTTTGAGATTTTCTTTGTTTTTGGCATTTTTCAGATGACATGGCATTGAAAATAGATTAAATGTATGATATATGAAAATGAATGAGATGTGTATGATAACATTTGTCTTTTACAGCTGATTCTTACAGTTGATGATCAATTCATCATCTCTTTTCTTACACTTTTTCTTTATCTGCTAGTCACTACTCTTACACAACCTCTATATGATACAGCATTCAGTGACTAGGTTCAGCAGCTTTCATCTTTTGTGATTCTGTCTTGTGTATTATACTGTCTCTCTTCACCTGCTCAGATCACTACAGTGAACAGCTCATTGAAACTAATCTCACTCAATCTCTGAGCATTCTCAGAGATTGAGATGACTTGATCTCATACATTCACAGATGTTTCAGATAGTTTGTTCTCTGTGATCTTCATAATTAAACTGATGTAAACAGTCAAATTCAACTCTGAATTTCTTTTTCTTCTATGATCTGACTCACATGCAAGTCTGCTGCTCTGAGACTGCTCTTTATCACATTGTATCTGCTGTCTGCAGTGTGTTATCATACAATCAGCTACAGTCTCATCACTTATTGAAGTGTGATATTTATCTGATTTCTTCATTTCTTCTCATTCTTTTCTTATAATTATGAAAAGATTGGAATAAGTGAGATCATCTGATTTATAAGTATCTATGATTTCTCTTACTTTACAAGACTTTTCAATTGTAAGTCTCTTCTTTTTCAACACTGATGATAGTGCTGTAGATGATTATAATTCACTCAGGTCTTACATCTTTGCTTTCACAAGTTATGAATCATTGATTAAGTTGTATAAGATCTGTTCCTCTGATTCTTTCAATGTGTACATTCTCAGAGAATATGATTTAAGTATCTTATATAGCTTAAATCATCTAGATTGAAACTTCTCAGAACTCTCATTGTGTATGAGAACTCACATTCTCATCTTAAGACTCAATTCCTTAATAAGTGAGTCTCATATTCTTTTTGATTGAATTGCTTGATTCAGAAGTAACTCATTAGCTTTTGCGCGTGCATGGCTGATCTCTTTCAATCTTGATTCTGTGTCTGTGACTGCTGTGTTCACAACTGCTGTTTCTACTGCATTCACAACTGCTGTTTCTGCTGCATCTGCAACTGCTCTCTCTCCCACCTTTTCTGAAGCATTCTCCGGGATGCACAGATGCAATTCATACAACAGATAGAATGATGAACACTTGAAGACTGCATGCTGTTGAATCTGCATGATCAACAGCGCCTGCCTGAGATATTCATCTCATAGTCTTGTAGACTTACTCACTAGATATTTCATCAGCATGTTGCTCAAGATTTCATTCAAGTGTTTCATCTTCTCATTCATCTGCAGATGATATAGCATTGTTCTACAATGTCTTATCTGTAACTGGCTCATGAAATGCCTCACTGCTTCTCTCACAAGGTTCACACTGTTATCAGTTAGAATCTCACATGATATTTCATAGTTGATATAGATCTCATTATATAGAAACTTTGCTATCATCTTCTCTGTTATCTCTGAAACTGCTTTCATGACTGATCAGTCAGTAGCATAATTAATAGCAGTGATTATTCATTGATTTTCATTTGACATTCATGATAATATATCTATGAGATTCATCTCTCATCATTTAAACAGTTGTATTATACACTTCATCTGATATTTCACTTTCTTACATTCTAACCCTTTCTTAGATTCTTTCATAACCTGATAATTTGAGCACTTATAAGCATACATCTGAATGTTCTCAGTCATGCTTGATCAGTATACTCTTGATTTAAGTACACTCATGAGTTCAGAGCTTTCTAAGTGACTGAATTCCTTGTGCATATGAGTCATCAAGTCACATCTAAATAAAGATTTTAGATAGAGAGCTTCTGCATATTCTAGATCACAGTAAAGCATAACATTGTTTTTCAATTTTCTCAGTCTGAAGTTCAGAAGCATCTCTTCTACTACTTTTATAAGACACTTATTATTCAACATCTTGTCATTCTTCAAGTAAGAATCATGATGTTCACTCATTCTGATTTCTTGTATTTTCTCAGCACATTTAATACAAACATTTCTTATGCCTGGTTCACAGAACTCTCATTCATGAAATTAAGTCTATAACTGATTGCATCAGGCATCACTGTGTTCAATTCCTTTTGATATTTGATATAAAGATTGTACACTTGAAACTCTGAGATTCAATATACTAAGTATTTGAAAGATTTTATTATTAATTATAGATAGACAAGACTTTTGTAATCTGTGATTACTGTTATTATATATCTGTTGTCAATATATCTATCTTATAACATCAGTGTATGCTTGATTACTAGCAATTTCTTTTCATACACTGAGTAATTGAGCTCAGTGCCTGATAGTTTTCTATCATTATACATTATCAGATACAGCTTATTATTCTTACTCATCTGTAGAAGAGTATCTCTGATAACCTATTCAGATATATTCATCTCAATGTAGAAAGATTTATCATAATCTGATTGAATAAGCACTGAGAATATTATTATATATTCTCTTAGTATGAGAAAAGTCTCTTTGTATATAATATTTCAGATAATTGAATAAAACTTCTTCTTTCACAGATTTGCATCTATTTCTCTTAAGAGATCTGAGAGTGATACAGATATTTATATGAAATTCTTGATAAATCTGCAGTAGTATGAGATCAACTCAAGAAACTGTTGTATATAATGTATATTTCTCAGTCATGATCAATTCACTATGACATTCAATTTCTTCAGAATGAGGTATATACAGTTATCACTCACTACATGTTCTATGAACTTCAACTCTTCTGTTTCAAACACACACTTGATTGATTTGACATAGAGCTTATACTCTATCAGAGTTGTAAGCACTTCATTGAGATGCTTCAGATATTCATTGTATAAGTTTGAAAAGACTAGAATGTTATTAAGATATACAAGACATGAGATTTCATTCTGTTTATAAAGAATTATATTCATCATTATTTGAAAGATGACAGGCACATTTATCAGACTGAATTATATTATCAGAAATTCAAACTTTTCTCATTGTATATTAAACATGGTTCATGAAACTGACAGTTCATCTACACAGATCTATCAGTATTCTGAGAGAAGATTGATCTTTGATAGATATTAAGTATTTCTGACTGTATTCAACTGTTGTTGAATTTGTGATAGTGAATATTCATTCTTGATTATAAGCTTATTAAGTACTTGATAATTGATACATATCTGTCACTCTCTACCTATCTTTTTCATGAATAGAACTGAAAAGTCTCATGCACTTGATGAGAATTGTATGAGATCATGTTCTAGAAGGTCTGTGATCTGACACTTCTGTTCTTCAAGATACATTTGTGATAGAGAGTACACATTCTGATTGACTGGTTTTGTGTCCTCTGTGTCAATCTCATGTATGAATCCTTGTTTCAGTGACAATTCTGATGAAAGATCTGTTCAGAAGATCTTTCTATACTTCTTCAGAAGCTTCTTTATACACTTGTTCTTCTGCATATTCTTTATCTTGATTTTCTCTACTTCCAGGTTCTGTATAATATACAGAATGCTTTTGAATGAGGTCTTATGAATCATTCTCTTTGCTTGTTAATGCATAAGCAGATTTAATTCTTCTATATCAGAGGTGTGAAATGTTCTTCTCATATCAGTTGATAGAATCATATGAACTGTTTTCTTTCTATCAGTCAACTGTATATGACATGTATATAATTGAATCTGCAGATTGAACCTTTAAAATCAATCAAGTCTGAGAATAAGGTTGTATTTCACATTCTACAGCTCTTGCACTCAAATATAGCAAGATCATTCTTCAAAGTGCAAGAGAACTCTTACTTTTACAGATGATATCAAATATCAGTTATCAGATAATCTTATGTGTCAGGGATTCTTCACTCAGCAGATCTCTTTCAATCTTCAGATCATATAATCATTAATATATTATATAGAAGCTTCTGTGTTCACTAACACTTTTGCAGTCATCTCTTGATTCTTATTCAAGTGTTCTCTATATATTAACATTTCAGGCCTTAAGGCATTGAGATGAGTATTCACTTCATTATTCTCACCTGCATCTCATTTGAAAGTCTGCTTCTTCTTTGTATTTACAGGATTCAGAGAGTCATCTAATACAGGTATCTCTTTCACTTTAAAGACTTTTCATAGAATATCAGTGAGTGTCTCTGAGCTCACTGATTCTGCTAGTTTTTTGACTCTCTTACTTCTCTTGACTGTGCACACTGAGTGCAATCTTTTACATCATGATTTTAACATTCACAGTTAAAGTAAGCTCAATGCTCACAATATCAAGATTTTCATTCAGAGAATTTCTTTTTTGAGAGATTCAGTGCTTTAGTGATGACATTCAGATCTAGATTCATCACATTCAGATGTATGACTTGTGTTATAAAAGTCTGATTATCTGTTCTTCACTGATGTATACTTAATTACAGTATTTTCTGTCACAATTGACTCACTTGTTTCTGTACAATGAGAATATTGTATGCTTTCTTCACTGTGTCTGACTGTGAGGTTAAGCATTTCTATTCTGCTCTCAACTCAGGTATAAGATTATGAATGAAGATCTGTAAACAGAAAGATATTGAAAGCTCTTCATTCAACATGAGATAGTGTAAGCTGAAGTGTGTAAAGTATAATGTAAGATTGCTCACTTATCTACACTCTGTGAAGCATTTGTAACACTTGTCTCATATATTCACTTTCTCAAAGTTGTACAAGATTCATTTGAAAAACTCATTTCATGTTTGTGAGAATGAATATCACTCTGAGTCTGTGAGATTCATCTTTTCATCAGTTATTCATAATGACTTCACTTTTTCATGTAGAAACACAGCAGATTTTAAGACTTGTTGAAATTTCATTGATTATCTGTCTGTAAGTTCATATTTGATCTGATAATATAATTGTATCTGACTTAGTCAGCTGATTGCAGCATCATTTTTTCAGTTGTTATTGAAGCTTGATAACTTCAGCAGATCTTCTGACTTGATGTATTTCATGCTTGAATTCTCATTCTGCACAGCAGTCTCTGATGATATATATACTTCTGAAGAGATTATGAACAATTGTGATGAGATCTTCAGATTCAGTGTAGTTATCTATCTGTGTAAATATTTGATCTTCTGCTGCAGGTCTAAGATCTGGTTTTCTCTATTCTTATTGATGATGGTAATTGTGTTGATAAAGCTCTTCATAGTGAATGCTTGATCTGCAGTGAATATCAATTGTTGTTTGACTTCTGTCTCAGTATGTCACTGTGTATACAAGACCTCAATCTTGTTTAGAATCCTTGTACATGTATGAAGCTTTGATTTCAGTTTGACTGTTTCAGCTGCTTTTCTTACTGCTTTGAGTAAATCCTCTGAGAGGTTCTGTATACCTTTCAGTTCAGATAGTAGAGAAGAGTGTTGTTCATATTAATTAGAGAAGGTATTCATTTCAGTGATTTTCTCATTGATTGTACAATGTCTATTATTATATCACTGTATCATTATATCACTATATCACTGTATTATTATATTGCTATATTGCTGTATCATTATATTGCTATATTGTTCTATTACTATATCATTATATGATTTCTGTTATTATTGTATGACTCTGATGGTGGTCACTTCTCTCTTTTATCTCTTTGAGTGAAGAGTGATCTTCTTTGAATCTGGTTCACTGCTCTCATTTCTTTTCTCACATCTCATCTGTTCATATACTCATACATGGCATTTGTCTGAGTGTGGAGTTTTTACTCAACAAGTAAAGCAGCATCAATCAGATGCTCTTTCACTCATCACTCTTTATACACTATCTTTTAAGATGTTCTAGAACCACACTGACATGATAACTATGAATCACTTTGTAGACAGAATTATCATGCTCTGAAGAAGCATGCACTTCTCACTGGTTTTTAGACATGCTATCAGATGTGATTCAAAGATTGCTTAAGCCAGTGTATGATTACAGATGTACGCCGGCTTCTTATATATTGAATCTTGTACACTAAATTAATTAGTGGCCGCTATGGCTAGACTGACCGTGTGACTGTGTCTGAGACCAGAACCAGATTTTTTGATAGTCTCATTATCAATTCGACAGATCCCATTACATAGTTTTAACATTAGATAGTAGTCTCATACTGTTCCAGTGAGACTTACTGTCTACTCTTGTCACATTTTTCAAATGAGACCATGATTTCCACTTCTCAATTTAAATTATTTTTATTACTTTAAATAACTTTAAATCTCATTTAAGCATTATCAAAAAGTGTTACTTTTTAAAAAATTAAAAATAGTCTAAAAAAAACCTTAAAATGTCTAAAAATAGTAACTTTATGCCAAGTATGAGACTAAATGAGATCAAATGAGATCACTTTCTCATTTTTTTCAAGTCATGGTTTCATTTTAAGATCTGATATATAGTCACTTTACCTGTTTTTTTAATAGCCAGTCCCAGCGGGATTCACGCCAAGAAATGTATGGGACCAGATCAAATGAGATCAAATGTGA